TGGGGGGGGGGGGGGGGGCTCCTGTTGCGGGGCAGGTTCTCTGAGGATGGTTTTCACGGCTGGTTGGAAAGGACTCTCAACGCGAACAGTCTCGAGGCCGATTTTGTTCTTGATCGAGAGTGATGATTATCAGCGTCCGACTTGATACGCTAACGTTGTTAAAGAAACTTTTGCGAGGTGGCGGCGGCGAAAAAAAAAACACGAGCTGCTTCCGTCCGTAGCGGGTTTCACGCGTCCGCCCACGTAACCGAACCTGCCCCCCCCCCGAAAAAATAAAATAAAATAAAAGGCATGGAAGCTTCTCCAACCGCAACCGGAAGGGCACTCGGATGACCTCCGTGTCCTGGATAAACGAGACCGACATCTCTCTCCTGCTGACGGCCGCGGGGGACGGAGTTGTCAGGGTGTGGGGGGACGTTATGGAGGCCGGGGCCGACGAAGGGCGGTCGCCTGACCTGGTGACGGCCTTCCGCGCGCTACCGGTAAGCTCTTCGTCAGCATAATGATATCAAATACTATTATCTACGTACGTGTGGTATCTACGAGTGATCCCTCGGGAGTGGGCTCACGCAGCAGGGTTATCGAGGGTGATTGATTTGTTGTTGTTGTTGTTGTCTTCACGTTCAAAACCGTTCCGATCTCTCGATCCAGTACCTTAATCTGTCCGTACTCTGTCTGATCTATCGATGCAAGATGAAAAAAAAAGCAGGAAGCAGGACCAGGTTACAGCCAGGTTGTGACCTTTCCCAAGCTCATACAGCTGAAGCGTGTCTTGACGCTTTCCGTGTCGATCGTGTGTATGTGTGTCACCTCCCGCTACCTCTGGTGTCAACGCAGGACTTGGAGCAGAATCCAGGAGGGCCGGGTTTGGCGACCCACTGGCAACAACGGAGGGGCTTGCTGTCTGCCGCCGGCGCCAGCCGACACCTGAACGTCTGGGACATGGGAAGCGAGCAGATGTGGAAGCAGTGGGAGGTGATGATGAGGGCGTTGGTCTTGGTGTAGACGGGGTGTTGGCTGTGTAACAGTTTGCGGCGCGGCGGCGGCGTAGTTTAGGCTCCGTTCAAAGAGGGATGTGTTGCCAGAACCTGCAAGGCCTGCTGGTCAAGAGGGGGGTCGATCTGGTCAAGAAGGAGGTCGATTGAGCTATTCGTGGTGAGGTAGGGTTCAAACTGCGGACGCCCCTGATCAACCACAGTGCCGAACGACGGAGAGCACGCTCTTCTCGGTACAGAGGGCTTGGAGCGTGATCTTTGGCGTGTTGGTTCCAGATAACAGGCTGCTGCTGCTGCAGTTCAGGCGCCCGTCGCCCTCTTTTCTTCAACTGTTCAACACGTCCCGTAGGCTTACCTCGTGTTCTCTTTTCTCACGTCATCCCCCCCCCCCATGTCTCCTTACTCTCGTCCATCCAGGTGCCAGAGCAGTGCAACGTGAGTGCGCTCCGCGCTCCCTCCGACAACAGCCCGGGTCCGCTAGGCGGGTGGATGATCGCAGCAGGCATGACGGACGGAAACGTGCTGCTGTACGATGCGAGGGAGCGAGGCGTGTCGGCCGTGCACAAGATGAATAGACTGCGGAACTACGTCGTGGACCTCTTTTTCCCGGAGGTGTGTGCGGCGGAATAAATCTCTGTCTTGTCTCTCAGGACCAGAAAGCCGAGCGCTATTTTTTTTTTTGTTTCTATTATACAGAGATGATACATGAAAACACAGAAACTATGAGCACGTCGAACTACCGAACTCGATCATCATGTGTATCGCAGCAGTCTTTTTTTTTTCTTTTGTCTTCACTTCGAATCAACGCTCAGGGTTTGGGCCGTTTTTCTCCAACCCGTAGTCTAGGCAGGTTTTTCCAAGTACGCAAACATACTGGATAAAGTATAGAGTAGACTAAGTTAGGGGTTAGGTTCTGCGTGCCCCCTCCCTGGTCTTTTTTCGTAATAACCCTTTCTTTCTTTGCGTACGCAGTCCGTGTATCGTAGCATACCCCGACACAAGCAAGAGCCAAACACGCTGGGTTGTGTGTAGGCTTGTTTTCAAACTCCCAATGACCCCTGCGTGTTCGGTGAGAGGATGATACAGCAGTACGACAATGATGGTGATGCCCTCTTTCTCGGCAGTACCTCGGGGGTGCAGCAGCTCTCGCCGACCCCCCCCCCCTTGCGAAATCGCGGAGCCCCCTTTTGGAGGCGTTTGGTTTGCGCGCGCGGTGGGGTTGAAATTTGGCCACCTGTTGGGGGAGACTCCAATTGTGGGACCCACGTTTGTATAGTGTGGTACACAGTAGTAAATACCGTGGGCTTTTGTGACAGGCTGGTTCTATGCACCCGACAACGAAATAGTACCCCGCCCCCCAGATATTCCTTTGTTTTTAGCCACCTTTGGCAAAGTTGGAAGGAACGATTGACCATCGGTGATCGGTCCTGTGGGAACAACGCGCCGTCCTCCCGAGGACCCGTAATCAACGGTCCAACAGCTAAGGCACCCCCCCCCCCCCCCCCTTGTGCCCCCACTCGTGACGGACCAACAGGAGGGTACCGGCCACGACATCCTGACGGGTTACTCGAACGGCTCGATCATGACGCAGGACATCCGCAAGGCGTCCGACGACAAGTTCATGCCCCACCACTGCAAGGCGCAGCAGACGGCCATGACCTGCATCACCATGCACCCGAGGGTGCCCGTTCTGGCGACCGGGAGCCACAAGCAGTTCATCAACGTGAGTTCCTATAAAATATGCTTACGTTTATGCTTACGTTCCAACAGATATCCGTTGGAGATATAGCCACAGTTGAAGGGGATTGGTTCAAGCCTTTTCGGTGAGTGGGAGAGAAACCGGAGCCGGACCCCATGCGTGGGGTAAATTTTTTGTAGAACCGGGTAGACACCCATCCTCCCATCAGTCACATGTCGATTTTGTAGGACATTTTGTAGGACAGAGACATATGATTGGCTGGTGGTCATTTCTTCGATTCGGGGCGCTTCCCCAAGCAGTGCATGCCATTTGGCTTCGTCCGACCTCAATTTTTCCACAGCAGTGTTACGCAACCTTGGGGTCCTTCTACCATGGTGCCACTCGCCCTCGATGTATCAAGTACCGCAAGG